ATCAAGTAAATATTCGAACTAACGACTATAGGACTAGCGCTGCGTAGTCTTTTACACCATCCCGTCACAGGGGTCACGCACAGACATAGGTAGTGCTGCGCGGTGCTGGATTCGGATGACCTAACGAAGTAGGAGCATTGATGAGAGCTGTAATATATCACAAACAACACTGCAGCCATTATGTTAGGTGTTTGTGGAATAGATTACATTGCATGTAATTACAGTAACTAGGTTAAAAAATTACAGAGAACTATCCTTAAACCTCTGGGTTCGGTAATATCAATAGACCACACAATCCAAATGGCACTCTGCACAGGATCACTGTCATTATTAGTAAAAATCAGTTGACACTTATAAGATTAGCCCACAAATGTTTATTTATTATTACTGGTCCCGGAAAAAAAAACCCATATTTTACTAACGTGGGATGAGGTGGAGCCATGCTTGACGGGGTCGGGGATCTGCTGCATACATGGTGACATAACCCTATCACACAGCCACTGTCACACATAAGAATGTCTGTCCAATTCATTTATAAAATCAATATACGAATTTGCGATACCGGCAAAACATAAATCCTAATTCCAAATCCAATCGCGTATCCCTCAATCCTCTATGATATAGCCAATAATCATGACTATCAGTGCCAATAATGTGGCGTCCGCTCCGTACGATTGAAGAAAATGATTCATCTCCAGATGAGGAAAGTATAATGACGATCGTATTTCTCCATCACCTGCATCAGGAATGGTATCGTTGAGATACGTGCGTTGTGACATGTTATTCACAAACTGGTCGTGTCCTCACTCAGTGAACGCTGCTCCGAAGTGCGACTCCGATTTTGCATGCCTCTCGCCTGTATATTCTTCTTAGTGAAACCACCTCATCTCGTCACACTAGTACGCTCCAAGACTGAATGAAACATTAGTAATTCGGATTACAAGTACCGCGGCCGACAGTGCAACCGCTTGAAGTATATTTACGTAGTTCACGCGAATAAAGTGAGGACTAGGTAGGGCGATGACGAATAGGCACGCCACTGATTGAGGCAAATAGATATGAGAATACAATATGATCTTCCTGTTATTTTCAGGTTATGTTATAAACGCTGGCGCGTAAATGCTACAAGATAACGCTGTATTCATACTCTGCAATTCTACAAGACAATAATTCTCCTCTTCAGTAAAGGTTAGCCCGTCCACTTCTTATGGTGGTTGTGATATTTCCGCTGATATCTATTTGGTCACACAGTACTTAGTTACAATCTCTGGACACATATGATGCGGATTGATACTAGCCTGATAAAAACGATGTAGACGTGATTATGAGATCGTCTGAACTACGATCTATCATACACGATTCAAAATAACACAATCATATAATTTACATAACTTTATACTATACTAGTATATGGGGTGTGGATAATTCTTAACTCACATGTAGCACAGCATTATAAATATGTCTGAATTAACAGATCCCTCAATTTGTGTTTAAGAAAAATGGAAAAAAAAGCTGATCCTAGATATTATTATATTCTTTTTCACTATATTCATTTCCTAATTACTCATGATAATTTCAGTATAGAGAGAAGCACTAAAATAGATTACATATAAGTTATTCGACTTATGGACATTACTATGTATATATAGTGATAGAACGATCTCTCTGCGCTCGAGGTTGAGCAATAGCTCTCAACAATAGAAATAATACGGTAGTCAAACATCATCGTACACGCATGCGAACCATGGTTGCTCTGCATGATCTGATGAGAGTAAGTGAAAAGAACCCCAACAGTGTGATGCGAATGCTGTCGATTGTTGCCACAAGAGCAGCACGTGCTAGTTGGGGACATATAATGTGGAGAGTAGCAGTCAGTGCTGGTAACACAAACCGTAGCTACCTCTAATCTAGCGGCGCGTGAAAGAGGCAGAACTCAATCAGAATCCGAGCGTGCCCGTCCCAAAGGATGAGACATCCAGCATGATACCCTCCTCTGATTGTGATTTGTTGTGAACATACAGAGCTAACAGCTCGTCACCTAACGTATGAGAGCCGGAAACAAGTGGGAACGAGTGACAGATCAAATTCAGGGCAAGGAATAAGAGAAACGATTACACCAAGCGGTGGTTTCAGTCATATTGGTGTCTATGCGTTAATAGACGCATTACTTAGTTACTATGGGTGAGCAAGGGTCTATATACTTTTATAGATCTTAGTGGAAGTGTCTGTTGTGCACGTGCACGTGTGTCTTACCCAAGTGAGTAGGTGCTTATGCCTTGCCCGCCACTCCTCACAGACGCGCCTCGTGGCCGCTACCACCGTCCTCGCTGTCTCCACTCGCATCCTGTCCTGGCCTCCCTGCCCCTCGCCCTCGTCCGCGTCTACGCCCGCTAGTGCAAGCTGCGACTTCGGGCTCCAGCACGCAGGTCCGCAAGAGATCAGCCAGGATCCGCAGCGCAGTAGACGGGCGCGCGGAGCCGCAGCGAACCATCTGTAAACCGATGGTCGCTTGGTATTTTTTAGAAGGCGGGTGGTGCTGGAGTCACGCTGAGACTCGTAATCAAGGGGTGAAACTAAAAACTAAACTAAGTCCGCAGTTTTCGTAGTCTTCA